GGGAGATAGCAAGGAATAACCGAAGAATAGTATAACTAATTTCAAGGCTTTCTGACGTTCTATTAATTTTCCCCTACCAATATTCAGCTACATTAAACTATATGAGAAAGAACGGAATGGTAAAGGAAGAAGCCAAATCCAGGCCCTGAGCTTCGAATTAGATGTTAGAAATTAGCAAATAGTTCATAAACTGACCATGACTGGACTACTCATCCACCCACCCACCACTATGACCAGTACAACACAATACACCAATTTGAATAATTCTAAAATGCATATTGTATTGTCTTGGAGTGGCCATCCAAAGCACAGACCTCCATCACACCATCAAACAACCAAGAGCATCAGCAGGCAAAATTTTGCATCTTAGATACACAGAAACCAACCACTTATTCAAGGGAATCTGATCACATACTAGGAAACTGATATCTACTTTTACTAACAGTCGATCACAAAATGTGAGCTTTTTGTGTATCCAGTCCAGTAATTAGGTTAACAAAGTCAATTCAATTAAACAATAAGCCTAATAATCAGGATAGAATACATAATTCATAAAAAGTAATCACAGTTCAATTTCAATATTAGATGCGATCAAAAAACTCAACAAACCACAAATGCACAAAAAGACATACACAAATATCCTGTATCCCATAGAATTGAGCCACAAGGCCGTTTAATTAACATATAAACTTGATACCTGTGAAGGGATTAGAGTTCGAGCTTTAGTTCTTCTTTGCTATCGGAGAAATAGTATAGAATATAAGGTGTGACCCGAATGACGGCAACCCAAGCTCCGAACATTGCCGCGTGGGTCTTCAGCTGCTTCAGCGCCTCCGCCTTGTCCGGCTTCCTCATGAACATTCCGGGAAACATCTTGGCCGTTGAAATCGAAGCCGCTTCTTCTTCTCTCAGATGTGTGCTATAGAGACGACTTATCTTAAACCCTAACCGTATCAAATTAGGGCTCTTGAAAGCCCATCATTTATTGGATTAAATGCAGTCGACCCTAATATTTAATTTTGAGAACTTTTTTTAGTTTATATGGGCTTTCAGGCCCATTAATACAGCTTTAAATTGTGGAAATTACAGGAAACCCTACTTTTTAAGATTTATATTCAAAAATCAGATCCAAAGTTTGTTAATTCAAAAATCAGAAATTTTATTAATTAATATATTATTATTGGATAAATATATTATTAAATTAATTTAATTTATAAATCAACCATACCCCCTCCATCACCCCAAGTTATTCCCCCCAAACCGTCTCTCTCTCGTCGATCTCCCCTCTTCACCACTGCTTTCCCTCTCCTCTCCCTCAAGCAGCTTCGACATCAGCAAGTGGAAGAGACTCTCATCTCCCTCCGACGATCACACAGACGGCAGCGCCTCGCGGCGACAACGCCGCGCGGGAGCACCTCGCGCGACGGCGTTGCCACTGCTTTCCCTCTCCTCTTCGCTGTTTGTTTGTTGATTTGAAGTGTTTATAGTGAAATTGCGGTGGTCGACGATGCAGATATATTTTCATAAAATCATATCTGGATCTCAAAACCAGATCGTCTTCCTCTTCCTCATCGGCTGTTTGAGTGGCGCTGCATTTTTTTTTTTTTTTT